GGGAGAGGAGGCACGTGCTCAGGACCCAGCCCCCTTCCCCCGTCCCCCACCTCCTCCCGCGGGTCCAGGACTAGAAGCCCCAGCCCTTCACCTCCATACACCCAGGACTTCCAGGCTCACCCGGGGGCGCCTCCTCTCACAGACCCGAGTCTGAGTCTGCAGCTCTTTCCTCTGGAGAACCCAGGAGTCGAGGGCCCCCCAGATCCAGCTTCCCTCCGGTGACCCCATCTTGGCCCCAGCCCCTCTTCTCCCTCCCTGCCTCCCTCCCTCCCTCCAAGCCAGAAGTCCTCTCTCCTCTGCCCCCTTCTTCTGGGGAGCAAACCCCCTGAGAACAGCAGTGACCAGCCCCAGGGTCTGCCTTCTGGACCTCAGAGCCCACTTACCATACACACCCACCGTGAACTCCCGGGTTTGCCGGGAGACCCCAGCCCGGATGACCTCGGCCGTGTAGACCCCAGCATCCTCCAGCTGGGCAGAGGCCAGTTCCAGGGCCCCTCGGGCCTGGTCAAACCGCAGGCGGTCTCGGTGAGCAGGGTCCAGGCTGATCAGAGGGGCCCCGGACCCCAGACCCCCAGCTGCTAGCACCTTGGAGCCCCGGCGCCAGACCACCAGAGGGTCCGGGGGCCCTGGGCTGGGTGCTGGAAGCAGGGGGAGCTGGATGGTGCTCCCCACCAGCACCGCCAGGGGCCCCCCCACCTGCTGGGGGAAGCTTGGCCCTGGGTGGGCCTCTGCGGGGACTTTGGATTCGGGTCTCTGAGCAGGGAATTTAACATCCAGGTCCTCGGGGGAGAACTTCAAACCCGGGCCCTCCACAGACCCGTGAGCACCAGGGGCTGGAACAGAAATGTCTGAAGCTGGAGGCCGTGCCGGGAAGGAAGGCTTTGGGTCCGCAGGAACCTGAGCCCCCAAGGCGTCAGGCCCTGCTGGGGAACCAGGGCTCCCGGAGATGGGGGGCTCCGGGCCCAACGTGTGGTCCCCCGCAGAAACATTTGACCAGGAGGACCCGGATCCATCCTTCAAATCCAGGGCCTCGGGAATCCATTTGGAATGGGGGGTATCCGCCGTGGCTCTTGAACCTGGAGACCAATCCGGAATGTTCCGGGGGGGCGGGGGGAGGTGTTGAAAGAAACGGTGGAACCCTGGGCCCTGGGAAGAGCTTCCTGAGTCAGAGATGAAATGGGTTCTCTGAATTCCAGAAGAGGCTCTGGGGGTGAGGAACCCTACTCCCCAGGCTGCAGAGGAGAGGAGGGGAGGGTGTTGGGGGGGCTGCTGAGGACGGGGGCTGGTGGGAAGGGGTGAGCGGGAGACTTACCCAGGAGCAGGAAGAGCAGCAGGGCCTGTGAGGTGTCCATGGGGCTGCCGCACCCAGCACCCAGGAGGACACTGCAGTGAGACTCCGGGCAGGCACCTGTCCTTGCCGGGACAAGTCCGACAGGACTGGTGGCTTACTGGGCGGGGAAGGGAGCCAGACCCAGTGGGAGGTGCCAGGGTCCCCTACCCCAAGCTGGTGGCCTAGCTACCCACCCCACCCCACCCCACTGGTCCTCATGAGTTGGTCTCAGCCTGTCCCCCCGCCACCCCACCCCGCAACCCTCGCCCAGGGAGGAGATAGTTAGACCTGAGTCCTAGCTGGGAACATAGGATAAAGCCAGGAAGACTTCCTGGAGGAGGGTGAGGTGACCTTTCAGAGAGCCCCACCTCTGATGGCCTGGGCCTCAGCTCAGGCTTCCTACTCCCCAGCCTCCTGGCCTCGGGTCCCCACGGTCCTGCCTGCAGCCTCAGACATACCCACGTCTGGCCCTGCTCCTCCTCTGCTCCAAACCCTCCCATGACTTCCTGTTACCCTCGGGACCAAGTTTCAGGTGGCTCTCTCCCACCCCTCATCTCTCCTGAGACCCAGAACTGCATCTTCAAGTCCCCTAGAGCCGCCATGCCCTGCGTCCCACTAAACTCCACATCGTCCCTCTGACCCAGCGGTTCTCAACCTTCCTAATGCCGCGACCCTTTAATACAGTTCCTCATGCTGTGGGGACCCCCCATTTCATTGTTATAAATTGAACATAATGAAAGCCTAGTGATTCATCACAAAAACAATATGTAATTATATCTGTGTTTTCCGATGGTCTTAGGCGACCCCTGTGAAAGGGTCGTTCGCCCCCAAAGGGGGCACGACCCACAGGTTGAGAACCGCTGCTCTAACCTAACCCTCCTCCTGGATTCTCCACCTTAAGTACAGTTCCACCGTCTGTGCAGAGGCCAGGAGCCTTCCTCCCCCCACCCTCCCCACCCCGCTGTGCATCTCTGCTCCTTGCATCTCTCCCATTTCTCCCTCTCTGTTCCCATGGGCCGGGTCCCAGGGGAAGCCTCGTTCCCCATCCCCTCGCCTAGCCTTCTACCTCCAGCCTCATCTCCTACAGTCCGTGAGTCCTCCCAGGCCCCTGAGTCCCTCTACACCCAGAGCTGCCCCTCCCCCTCCCCTGCTCACAGCCCTCCCGTGGCTCCCTAGAGCTCTCGGGAGGCATCCAAGGAATGGCTAGACCCTGCCTTGCCTAGTCCCACGCACTCCACCCACTCCCTCCCGCCTCCAGCGCTGACTCTTTGAACACCCTACCATTCTTCGTCCCATCTCTCCCCTCCCAGATCTGCAGACAAAGTTTCCTCTGCCTGGAATGCTCTCCCTCGCTCTCCGCCCCCCTCCAACCTGGCTAATCCACAACTTGTCCTTCAGGTCTCTTATTAAGAACCAAAATAATAATTGCCACTTATCCGGTGCCAGGAACCGTGCAAAAATGTTTCCCAGACGTTATGGGCTGAACCCTTCCAAACGCCCTGTGAGCTAGCTGGTGTTTACCATCCGGGAGAGAGCAGCTCGGAGACAGGCCGGTTGGAGGTTGCACAGCCTGAGGGAGCAGCTTGGCAGATGGCCAGGCTGCACACTCCTTCTGAAAGCTTTTCCTACCGCCCCATGCTGGCCTCACCAGTCCTCTGAGCTTGCCCAGGTAGAGTTCTCGCCATGCGGATAATAGTAATGATAATACTACGTAGTGAGCATTTTCTGCATGTCCAGTGTGGTTCTTGAGGTGCTACATTAATCCTTGAAAACCCCATGGGGTGGGCTTTATAGTGTAAAGACAGTCACAAATTCAACCCTCCTCCCATTAAGGAGTAGGGTCTCTGGCCCCTCCCCTTGCCTCTGGGTAGGTTCTGTGACCTCTAGACCAGTGGTTCTCAATGTTCCTAATGCCGCAACCCTTTAATACAGTTCCTCATGTTGTGGTGACCTCCAATTTCATTGTTACAAATTGAACATAATTAAAGCATAGTGATTCATCACAAAAACAATATGTAATTATATATGTGTATTCCAATGGTCTTAGGCGACCCCTGTGAAAGGGTCGTTCTACCCCCAAAGGGGTCGTGACCCACAAGTTGAGAACCGCTGTTCTGGACCAAGAGCATACAGTGGGAGTGGCCCGGTGTTTCTGCACCGAGGCCTCAAGAGACTGACGTATTCCACTTCCTGCATCGTGAAACACTCCTGCTGGGAGCCCAGCAGCCATGCTGTGAGGAAGCTCAAGCAGCTGCATGGAAAGGAATAATGGCCCTTAGTGCACAGCTGGCTTGCAAGTCTGTGATGGATCCATCTTCGATGTCGTTCCTCTGGCCCTATCTGAGCCATGGAAGAGAAGCCAGCTGTGCCTGCCAAGCTCAAATCTCAGACTTATGAAGAAACCAAAGGATCATTGGGTTATGCCACCAAGCAACAGAAAGCCCGACTGTCACTAACTGACCCTGATGGAGGAGGAAACTCAGGCTTAGAGAGTAGGAAGTTGTCCAAGGTTCTCCTGGAGACGGGGATTGGGCAGGATCTGAACCCAGGGCCTCGGGATCCAGGCCCAGGCCTGTAACCCCTGCATGAAGCTCTTACTGTCTCAATAGGCCAAATGAATAGACCAGGGGTCCTCAAACTACGGCAGGCGGGCAGTCGTCGAAAACATTTATCTGGCCGCCAGGGTGTTTTTGCCGCCGCTGCCTGTTGCTTAGCAGCCGACTCGTCCCCGCCGCAGTGTGCATGTGTGGAATGTGCGCCGCACTCTCCGACTCCCCTCCTTCTCTCTGTCTCTCGACTCCTCCTCTCAGTCTCGGGCGTGATCGTACGAGTCACGAGCTTGCCTGTGCAGAGACTGTGCTGCCTGAGGACCAAGGTAAGAACAAGTTAGGATTTATTTTTTGTTGAAGTTAGGAGGTCTATTTTTTTTTTTTTTTTTTTTTTTTTTCAGTCAGTAGGGCCTTTTTTTTTTTTAAGTTAGGAGAGCCCTTTTTCTTTTAAGTTTTGTTTTTTTTACTTCAAAATAAGATATGTGCAGTGTGCATAGGAATTTGTTCATAGTTTTTTTTAAAAACTATAGTCCGGCCCTCCAATGGTCTGAGGGACAGTGAACTGGCCCCCCTGTTTGAAAAGTTTGAGGACACCTGGAATAGACTGAGGCTCAGAGATGGGAAGTAACTCATGATCTCACAGCTGGTAAGTGTGAAAGTGAGAGTCACTAAGGCCAACTCCAGGTCCCAGCTCTTCCCCGCACCAGGTTTTGATGATCTCTTGCTTGTCTGTCTCCCCAACCACAATCGGAGCTTCTGGCCTCCTCCCCTCTTGGGTCCCAAGTCTGGGCAGGGGCCTGGCACCCAGGAGCCCACAGCAAACACCTCACGGGTGAAAGCCCTTCTTACCCCCACCCCACCTCACTGGTATTTGTCTTTCAAGACTCAACTTAGATGCCACCACACTGGGAGTCTCTTTAACCCCACAGGCCTGCTCGGATGCCCCAGGTGGGCCCCCAGTGCCTCCACATACAGCGGCCAGCATCCCACCTCACGGTTGCCTGTGCCCACGTCCATCCCCCTTCAACATGGAAGCTTCTCAAGGGCAGGGACTGGACGTGACTCACCTGGGTCTCCTGCGTTGCCCAGCACAGGGCCTGGCACACAGGAAAACTAAGTAAATGTTTGTTGAATGAATCAAGGAATGGGTGTCCATGGAATGAGGTAACAGAGACAGACGGCGAGAGTCATAGTTTTATTGCCAAGTTTCACGGACGGGGCTCAAATCCGTCCGATCTCCTTCAGCTTGGCCACCAGGTCCTCCGTGGTCTCCACCTTGACGCCAGCCGTGCGCTGGGGCGGGTCCTCCACACTCACCACAGTGAGCTTGGAGGTCAGGTCCACGCCCAGGTCCCCGGCCTTGAGCACCTCGATCTTCTTCTTCTTGGCTTTCTACGTGCAGGAAGCCACAGATCACAAAGCTGCCGAGCCCCCTGCCCACCCTCCTGCAGCCCCCATGGGTGCCACATCCGCTGAACGACTCCCATTGGCTAAACCCTTCTGGACTTGCCCCTGGCCAGGACACATGTGACCTCTTACAGGGCCACACCTGGTGCAGACATCTCCTGTTGACTGGGATGACCTGGGAAGCCCTCCTATTACGGGAGTCCTTCTAAAGTCAACAGCCTCCACTGTCTCATATGAACTGGCAAACTCACCCTCTGGCAGTAATAACGCATTGGACTTTTGGCCAAACTGATCCATTAAACTCACCCTATTGGCTGACATGACTCAATGAACCCATCTTACTGGATGAGATGACCCACTGAAATCTCCCTATTGGCTAAGATGACTCATTGAGCCCATCCTACCTGCCAAGATGACCCCCTGAACTCTCCCTGCTAGCTGAGATGACCCAATAAAGCCTCCTCATTTGGCTAGGATTCCGGAATGAACTGTTCCTATTGGTTGTAATGACAAGGGGAACCCTCTTGATTGTCTGACCAAGCCTTTTATTGGCTGAGATAAACAGCAAGCCCTTTCTGTTAGCCAACAGCCCCATGAGCGCTCTCATTCTTGGCACAGAGGACCCAGTGGACTCTCTCTGTTAGCCAAATGGCCAGTGATCCCTTCTTTTGGATGAGATGTCCCTTGGATCCTGTCTCCTCCCATCTGAACACCAGGGAGGCACAGGGCCTATAGCACTCACCCATCCCCAGGCCCCCGTGAACCCTCTGCCAGGTGCTCACCATGATGTTTGGCAACGTGGCATATCGGGGCTCATTGAGCCGCAGGTCAGCGGTCACCACGGCAGGCATCTTCAGGCGCACGGTCTCCAGGCCCCCATCAATCTCCCGCTCCACTTTCAACTTGTCCCCTTCCAGAGTCAACTGGGAGGCAAAGGTGCCCTGGGGAGAGACAGCGTAAGGGGAATGGGCAGATTAATTCAGGGCAGGCCCCGAGCAGTCCTCCACGGGCCACTCCGCGGAGTGCAGCAGAGGCACGAATGAATGACAACAGAAGAGGAAGCATC